CCCCCCCCCCCTCTCCGCCCTTCCCTCCCCCTCCCTCCCCCAGATGTGTACGGATAATTATTACTCTCTACGTAAGACGTATGTATTATGTCTGTCTCTGTTAGGCAGGCAGTGTAGGCATGCAGGCGAATCTGTACAGAGCACTGCGATTCACGAAGGAAGGAGGCGGGAAGAAGAAAACGCAGGTCGGTCGGTCGGTCGACGGGCTGACGGGGTGATAGGCAGGCAGGTAGGCAGGCAGGCAACGTGTGGCAATAAGGGGGCGGTGGGTGTAGGGGGGACCGGCAGGCCGGCAGGAGTGGGCAGCAAATACATAGATACGTTCAACTCAACAGAGACAGACCAACTAGATGTGTATGTAACTATGAGAGGGGGCAGGGGGGGAGGGGAGGGAGGCAGCCATGTTACCAGGAAACCAGGCAAGCAAATCACACACGTGTTCACCCGATCCGCCCCGCCAGAGTCTTCGTCTTATCGTCCGCACGCACCACCCACACCACACACACGCGCACACACCCATGCATTAGATGTGTCCACCCCACCACCACCTCCCTCCTCCCCCCAGCCGTGTCCCCACACCACCACCCAAGCCAACTCGCTCAGTGCATGAGTGCATATGATCATTCCTCAGGCCGCCGCGTCTCATCTTCTGAGAGACACGGCGGCTCGGCGAACAGGGGCCATTCTTCCTTACTCTAAGGACGACAGGCTACACGGCTCGCTCTCTACAACCGTCCGTCCACACAGACGGATGCACACACTCACACGTAGCATGGGAGGCGACTGACTGAGCTCAGGCAGGGAGGCAGGGAAGGAAGAGATGCGGGGAATTCGGATTCGCATCCATCCATAATGCTCTCTGTCTATGTTACTACTCTGCGGCCGGCCAGGTGAAAAAGGAAACACACATCCAGGCAGGCAGGCAGGCAGTCGGGGAGGTAGGGAGAGAGGGAGACACACACAACAAATCACCTAGTCAGCTCACAAAGACCATCTCATGAATCGATACACACAACACACACGTGACGACAAGGGAGAGAGAGGGAGAGAGAGGGGAAGAGAGGCTAGCTAGGCTAGGCTAGGAGTGGTCCAGGTTTAGATCTTCTTGGACGGTGCTGGCTCGTGGTGCTCGTGGTAGACAGGTGTCTCTTTGGACTCCTTCTTGTCGTGGCGGGGGGCCTTCTTGTGGACCGGCACGGCCGGCACCTCAACCTGGATCTTCTTGATGCAACGGTGGCCCTGATGGCATACACAGACACACACACACTCCGCATATTAGCACCTCTCTCTCATCCCTCGTGTCCTAGGTGAGAGAAAGTACCTTGAGGGAGTATCCCTTCTCGCACTTGGGGACAGACTTGGTGGGCTGGTACTTGACGCACTTGCCGTCCTTGGTGGTGGTGCCGTCGCACTTGCTGGTGGCGGGAACGACGTGCTCGGTCCAGCACTTGTGGCCCTTTAGCGTGTAGCCCTTGGGGCACGAGGGAGAGGCGTGCTCAACCTTCTCCTTGATGCAGGTCGCTCCGTGCTTGCCCTCCTTCTTGGACATCTTGTAGCCCTGCACACCACACACAGTCGAGGAAGGGCAGGAAGGACACCAGCAGGATGGGATGGAGTGTGCATCAAACGTTTGTGTGTATCGTTCGTGTGTGTTGCCTCTGTTGCGTCTGTTGATGCATCTAGATGAGTGTACCTTGGGGCAGGTCATCTGGGGTCCCTTGGTCTTCATTTCCTTCTTGACGATGGTGGGCTTGGTGGCCACCTTGCTCACGCACTTGTGGCCCTTGAGCTCCTGCCCGTGCGGGCAGGTCTGCAGACACAGACAGGCAGGAGCGTTTGAGTCAGTCAAGATGGACAGGGGCCCCTGTTCCTGTCTGGTAGCTGAACTGACTGACCTCGACGGCCTTTTCGCTCTTGTGGAGGACGCAGACGCCGTTCCTCAGGACGTAGCCGTGCTCGCAGGTGAGGGCCTTCTTGTGCTCAGAGTGGCTCACGCACTTGCCGTTAACCAGGTGACCCTTCTTGCACTTGTACTCTGAGCGAGTGAGCAACCGCACAACAAAAAGATCATCAACTCTCCGCTTAGGTAGGAGTGTGTGTGTGTGTGTGTGAGCATACCGGCGGGTTTGACGTGCTGGGAGACGCACTTGTGTCCCTTGAGGACGGTGCCCTTGGGGCAGACCTCGTGGGGCTTCTTGTCGCCCTTCTCCTTGATGCACTCGTGTGAGTGGCCCTCCTTGCCCTTGCCGCTGCTCTTCACACTGCACACACAAAGCCAGCCAGCCGCAACACATCAGACACACATCAATGTGTTCAGGTGTGTGCGCTGTGCTTGATTCTTCGTGGGTGGGTATGTCGCTTACGGCTTGTATCCGTGCGGGCACCTCTTGTCGGGCTTGTCCTCGAGGACCTTGACGCACTTGTGGCCCTGCATGTGGTAGCCCTTCTTGCACTCTGATTGATGGTCGACGCGGACAGACAAACGACAGACAGCGGAATGTTCTGTCGGTGGGGTGTGTGTGTGTGTGTGTGTGGCTGGTGGTGGCTGCGTGACGCACCGTATTGCATGGGTGCGGTCTCGTGGGTGATGCACTTGCCACCCTTCTTGGTGCCGTGCTCGCAGATCTCATCAGCCTGGCAGATTAGCGACACACCACACAAACACACACACACGATACATGAGCACAGATAAGGGCGTTCTCGTCTGTCCATCTGTCTTGAGGCACTCACATCGACGTGCTTCTCCTTGACGCAGGTGGCGCCGTGCTTGCCGCCCTTGTTGTCGAGCTTGTATCCATGTGGGCAACTGGTGTGAGGCGCGCCATGGTCGACGGCCTTCACGCAGCCGTTCTTGGACGGCGTGTAGCCCTTCTTGCACACAGGGGCCACGTGGTGAGTCGACTGGCAGTTCTTGCCGTGCAGCGTGTGACCCTTCGGGCACGTGTAAGTCTGATCGATGGATGCACAAGCAGGCAGTCAAACAACGTCACGTGGGTGAGTGTCTTTGTGTGGGTGTGTGAGGCATCGCTCGCTAAGCTGAACAAACCGGCTTGGTCTCGACGGTCTTGACGCAATGGCCCTTCTCCATCCGGTAGCCGCCCTTGCAGACGTGCTTGGCGGGCTCCTCGCCCTTCTCGGGGATGCACACATGGCCTGAACGACGACACACACAAGACACACATACACGTGTGTCGTCACGATGATGGCACGCAGAGAGACGTGTGCCTTTGGATGGATGGATGGACCTACCGTGCATCTTGTAGTGCTTGGGGCACTTGGCCGAAGCAGCAACCTGCACCGAACGAGCAGACACGCACGCCCAGATGATTGCCCTCTCCCCGTCCGTCCCCCCACCCGCATCGCTCCCGTCATAGCTATACATCAGATGCTCTGATGACACTTACGTGCTCGACGAGCTTGCACTTGCCGTTGTGTGCCTTGGCGCCGTTGTCGCAGACCTCATAAGGGGCGACAGAGTCCTTCTTGGTGCACTTGTGGCCGTCCTTGTCATAGCCGTGAGGGCAGGAGATCTTGGCCTTGACCTCCTTGGTGGTCACGCAGCCCTTGTCCTTGGTGGGTGTGGAGCCGTGCGGGCACTCGTACACGGGCTCCTGCTCGATGGTCTGCCACTCCTTCTTGCCCTCATCCTTCTTGTCATAGGCCATAAAGTCGCCCTTCTTGTCGTAGGTGGGAGCCGGCTCATGCTTCGGCTCGGGAGGGGGCGCCGGCGCCTTCTTCTCAGGCTCGGCGAAAGCGACGGCACAGAACAGAAGCGCGACGCACACGGCTCGCATCATCGTGGCCAGCGACAGCGGACGACGCGAGGCGATGTGTGGGAGAGAGAGGCGGGGGAAAGGAGAGTACCGGTGTGGCGGAAGGATTGGACGCTCGCTGGTTGGATGGGCGGTGCTTCCTTCCTTGGTCTGCCGCTGTTCAATAAAGAAGGAAGGCTACAGACTCTCCGGGAAAGGCGAGAGAAACCGTACGAGGGCTGCGAGACGTACAGTGTGTAAACGCATGAGCCGTTGCGGGAAACCCTGGGGGTTTGAAACCCTGCTGTGATGCATGATTGACATAATTGGTGTGGCCTACACACGTGGGTGGGAAGACAAGCACCACACACACACACACACACACACGCACACACACACACACACACACACACGTCCACACACGGATGCAGTCAAGTCATTCAGTCATTGTGCCCTCCGTGTGTGTCTTTGCTGTCAGCTTCCTTGAGTTGGATGCGCTCCTCGACTGTACACAACAGTGTGTGTATGTGACTCAGCTCAATGCCAGCGTGAGACCACACATTAATGAATGGGTTTGGACAAGGATACGTTTGTATGCAGGCAGACAGACAATCTGTACATACACAATCAATCGGTCTGACGCACACGGCTCCCGTTTGCACTGAGTCCTTCCTAAAAAGTACTCCATCCATCCATCGGCCCGCTAGCTACATGCGATATCCCTCCCTTGCTCCCCTCGGCTTAGCACACCACACCCTCTCCCCTCGATAAACGCATCGATCCATCAGACTGCGTCATCCTTTCTTCGGGATATCTGCGCCATTCTCGTGAAGTCTATATCGTCCTCAGGCAACTGCACACACGGCACAGACCATGACGCCAAGGAAGACACAGCATCTCCGTCAGCAAAGGGCGGGACGACGTTGTGGTTCTCTGTCTGCTCTGCTTACTCGTGGTCGTTTGGCTGATGACCAGATGGTGACGATGCACAGCAATTGCACGCCGTAGCGGAAGAGCATGAGCGACTGCAGGAAAAGGTCCTCCACCGGCTGCTCTAATGTGTCGTCCAAGTCCGTCAGGTGGCCCAGCACCAGCAGCACCACACACGACACCGCCAGTGCCAGGTCAAACACGTTCGACCGCTGCCGGAAAAAGTCCCGTCCCTGCACAAAGACGACCGACGTCCACACACATACAGAGAGTGAGTCGAGTGGACGGACAGTCTCTGAACTGTGCTGTGTGCCGCGTACCAGAATGAGGATGCGCATCGTGACCTCCAGATTGAGCATGAATGTGACGAACAGCTCCGCCACGAACATGAGCACCCCCAGCACCCCATTGGTGGCGGCGTCGTCCATCCACAGGCTCTGTGTCAGCAACACGAAGCTCAGCAGCAGCACGCCGCCATAGACATACTTAGCCCTCTGCGAGTAGTACATCCGACAAGCCATGGTCCGCATGAACTCGCCGACAGAATGCATCTCCAGCTTGCCCAGGAGGAAGCCGCCATACGCCCGCAGCCGCTCACCGAAAAGCCACCACTCGTTCTTCCTTCTCCTTCGGCGAGGGCTGCTGGCCCTCCGAGACGACTGCCGAGCCTCGCGCTGCGTCTTGGACTGAGGGGACGGCACCAGCAAAGACTCCGTCTGCTCGTATTCATCCTGCTGACCCGTCGGGCTGTCATCTGCGCGCAGCCCGAACTCGGTGTCGTCATCGTCGTCTGACGTGCTGCCAGCCGAAGTTGGGATGTCGCTGGGCGGCGCCAGGCGTGTCGATGCAGCCATCTTGGTACGTGTGACGGCGTCTAGACATGCAAGGGGCTCGAGAGAAGGGGAGTCGACTCCAGATTGGCTGGGATTCATCTGCTTCAGGCTTCAGACGCCGCTGATGATCCCGTGGCCGCTGCGTTTCACTTGCGGCCTTGCAAACCAAGCTCGCACGGAGAGGAACGGTGGAATCGAACGTGTGTGCCGTCAGCTGAGCACATAGGTAGGAGGTCGGTCAGCCAGGACCGGTTGGTGTGATCGGTGATGACAGATAGCAAGTCATCTGCGGCGAGTGTGAGTAACGGAGCTGCGGCCAACAACGGAGGGATGAGGGCGGGCAGCGTCCGCCTCGAGATCGACCCGCCCGATGAGTCAGAAGGGGTCCCGCTGCTCGACGAGGGCGGCTTCTGCAGCGAGGTGCGGTACACGCACGAACGAACGGACCAACACACGCACACACGGACGGACCAACACAGGCACGCCACGCCATGGATGGGATCGATGTGTCCGTGTTTGCATGTGCCTATCTATCTATGGCTTCATTCAACTCGCGCAGGAGGGGAACTGTTTGACTCGCTGTTGGTTCGGCTTGGGAGTGTTCCTTTGTGGGGTCCGGGCGCGGTATGAGGAGCGCATCATGCACATCTCGGGGAGGACCAAACCGCAGCTATTCGGTCAGTCAGCAGATGCGATGCAACAATCGCCGGCCGGCTCGCAATGCGCCGTTGCATATATGTGCGTGTGTGTTGGACTGACTTGTGTATTCAGTGCCGAATGTGGTTCGCAACCAGAAGTATAACCCCATCACGTTCCTGCCGGTCGTCCTATACGAGCAATTCAGGTCAGACAGACACTTGCTTGATGGCGCCTCATCCTTCCTTCGCCGGCCGGCCAGCCAGCACACTCGCCCCGACGGGTTGTTGTGTTGTGCACACTGGATTGGTTTGCAGGTTCTTCTTCAACTTGTTCTACCTGATGGTGGCACTCTCACAGTTCATTCCCGTGCTCAAAGTTGGTACGTATCGTATCGTATGGCTCCCGCGACACACGGCCATCCAGACGGCCTGTCTGCTGTGTCTGTGCCTGTGTCTGTGTGTGTGTGTCTGTGTCTGTGTGTGTGTGTGCTGCAGGTTTCCTATTCACCTACGTGGCCCCCCTGGTGTTTGTCTTGTGTGTGACCATCGGCAAGGAAGCGTACGATGACTACAAAAGGTCAGCCAGCCACATGTCTTGATGCAGCCACAAAGTCAGTCCATTGATGGGTGTGTGGTGTGCAGGTACCTGCGTGACCGCGAGGCCAACAGCAGCAAGTACCTGCGGCTGACAGAGAAGGGCCTCAAGCCCATCCCAGCGTCTGAGATCAAGGTGGGGCACGTCATTCAGATCGGGGCCAACCAGCGGGTCCCCGCCGACTTCATCTTCCTCCGAACCACCGAGAAGAGCGGATCCACATTCCTGCGCACGGACCAGCTCGACGGCGAAACCGACTGGAAACTCAGGTGGGTGCGGGCCGTAGTAGAAGATGATCTCGAGCTGATGGATGGATGGCATGTATGGCTGGCTTCGTTTGTCTTGGTGTGTGTATGTGTGGGTGTCAGGCGTGCTGTTGTGGTAACTCAGCATCTTCCCAGCGAGACTGATATTCTCAGGCTCGACGCCACGTGCCAGGCTGAAGCACCAAGGTAATGCACTGGTTGAGAGAGGAGGGAGGGAGGGAGGGAGGGACAGAGATCGATGCCCTAGTGTGTCCACACTCATGTTCTGTGCTGGGTGTGGTGTGTGTCCATGCTGCAGGAAGGACATCTACGAGTTCATCGGCCGTTTCACTGTCCGCAACATGGCCCATCACCAGCCGCGACGCATCAGCCATGAAGCCGAGGACGGCTCGGTAGGCCCCGCCACCCGCCCGCCTCATCCCTCAGCCACGCTCCCAAAACGCCACATGTCGTTGCTTCCTTCTCCTGCCTTGATTGATCCACCAGATGTATTCGGAGCCCAACCTGGAGTCACCCGACGCAGTGGACGGGGACGTCGAGGCGCAGACGGCCGTCCACTCGATGGCCAGCACCGACACACACGTGGAGGGCCTCACCCTCGATAACACCCTCTGGAGCAACGCTGTCGTGGCGTCAGGCACGTGCCTCGGGCTGTGCATATACACTGGCAAGGTCGGACGGACGGACAGACGGAGCGAGGGAGGGAGGGAGGGAGGGAGAGGGTGCGTGTTGATGTGGATGTGGGTCAATGTGTGCAGGAGACCAGAGCTGTGATGAACGCGAGCAGCTCAGTGACCAAGGTGGGATGCGAGCACCGAGCAGGAAGGCGGAAACGCGCAAGCGCCATGTGTGTCTTTTTGATGCGTGCGTGCACCACGTGGTGCAGACTGGTTTGTTTGAGCTTGAAGTGAATCTGCTGTCCAAGCTCCTGTTTGTGCTCCTCATCTCCCTGAGCTTCCTCCTCACCGTCTGCAAGGGCTTCGAAGGCATCTGGCCAATCTACTTCTTCAGGTACACAACGCACAACACACAACACACACCCGCACTCAGACACAGACAGACGCAGAGAGACGTGTGTCTGTCTGTCTGTCTGTGTGCCCACCGCGCAGGTTTCTGTTGATGCTCTCGTCGATCATCCCGATCTCGATGCGGGTCAACCTCGACATGGCCAAGACAGTCTACTCGGTGCAGATCATGCGCGACCCCAAGATCCCCGACACTGTGGTGCGCACTTCCACCATCCCAGAGGAGCTGGGCAGGATGGACTACGTCCTCTCCGACAAGACCGGCACACTCACACAGAACGAGATGGTCTTCAAGAAGATTCACCTCGGCCGAGCCGCCTTCGGGGAAGAGTCTTTCGATGAAGTCAGGTAGGTGCGCGACTCGGCAGTGGGGTGGGCCAAACACAGACAGACACGCAGACAGACCGACTGACCGACAGTGCGACCCACAGACACATACCCATCCATGTGTGTGTGCGTATGTGTCTGTGTCTGTGTGAGTCCTGCAGGCACGCCCTGCGCATGAGCTTCAGCACGGACGACCCTTCCTCGCCCTCCAACACCTCCCTTGCCCACTCATCAGCGTCAGCGTCAGCATCATCAGCAGTGGGCGGCCTCTCTCTCTCGGGATTCGGTTCGGGCAAGCGGCACGTGGAGGTGCGTCAGGTACTGCGGCACGCCATCACCGGCCTGGCGCTCTGCCACAACGTCACCCCCGTGACGGACGAGGAGACGGGGGAAGTCACCTTCCAGGCCGCCAGCCCGGACGAGGTTGCTCTGGTCAAATTCGCTTCGCTTGTGGGGGTCAAGCTGGTGGAGAGAGATCAGCACTCCATCACTTTGAGGGTACGCTACGCACGCACTCCTGTCAGTCAGTTGTCAGTCAAGAATGGCAAGAGAGAGAGGGCAACGAATTCATTCTCTGGGTTTCTTTCTCTGTGTGTGTGCAGGATCCGCATGGTGTGTGCCACTGCTACGAGATCCTGGCGTGTTTCCCCTTCACATCTGAGTCGAAGCGCATGGGCATTGTCGTGAGGGCGCGGGACTCGCCAGACCAACGCATACTCTTCTTTATCAAGGTAGGTCTGAGACACACATAACATACACGGAGAGAGAGTTCTCCCAAACGGCCTGAGAGGTACTCTCTCTCTCTGTGTGTGTGTCTAGGGTGCTGAGTCGGTGATGATTCCCCGTCTGTCCCACCGCGGCACCAGCTGGCTGTCAGAGGAGTGCGACAACTTCGCCAGGACGGGGCTGAGGACACTCGTGCTCGCATACAGGGAAATATCCTCCCCTGAATTCGATGATTTCAACAAGAGGTACACAAACAGCTGTGCACAAACCATATACCTTAATTCATGTGTGTCTGTGTGTGGGTGTGTGGCTATGTGGATCGTCCGTTGATAAGGTTTGCGGAGGCCCGGTCGGCCATGACGGATCGCGCGGCGCGTGTGCGTCAGGTGGTGGACTCGCTGGAGATCAACCTGGACCTCCTGGCGCTTACTGGTGTGGAGGACAAGCTGCAGCAGGATGTGCAGCAGACACTCGAGTCGCTGCGACACGCCGGGGTGAGGGTTTGGATGCTCACAGGAGACAAAGTCGAGACCGCCACGTGCATCGCCATTTCTGCCGGTATGTATGTGACCCCAACACACTCCTCACCTCTTATGACCTCACACTGATGTGGTGTGGTGTCTGTCAGGTCTGAAGAGCCGCCTCCATTCGCTGATGACTTTGTCGAGCAGCGAGCTGGCCACGCCGCAGCAGGCCATCCAGGCGCTCGAGCGGTTCGCCACGGGGCCCACGGAGACGGTCCTGATAGTGGACGGCAAGGTGCTGGCGATGCTGCTGCACCACCACGAGGCGGCATTCATCGAGACGGCATGCCTGGCGCCCGCTGTGGTGTGCTGCCGCTGCTCGCCCACGCAGAAGGCTGACGTGGTGCGGCTCATCAAGAAATACACGGGCAAGCGGACGTGTGCCATTGGGGATGGCGGCAATGACGTGTCCATGATCCAGGCTGCTGACGTGGGGGTGAGTGGAGTGGAGTGAGCCACCAAAGCCTGCACCAACCAAACGAGGAAGGCAATACCTGTGTGTGTGTGTTGTGTGTTGTGTGTGGCATGCATCTTACTTAGGTGGGTATAGTAGGGAAGGAGGGCAAGCAGGCGTCGTTGGCGGCTGATTTTTCCATCACCCAGTTCTGCTATCTGCGTCGGCTGCTGCTGTGGCACGGGCGCAACAGCTACCAGCGGTCGGCCAAACTCGCCCAGTTCGTCATCCACAGGGGGCTCATCATCGCCATCATACAGGTACAACACAACCATGCACTAACACACAGATGCACAGCTCGACACGAACGACCACACAATCAATGCTGCCGTGCTGTGCTCTTGGTGTGTGTGCCACCATCACACATTTAGGTGTTGTTTTCGGCGATTTTTTTCTTCATCGCACTGCCCATCTTCCAGGTGGGGGACCGACCACTCACCTCACCCTCGCACACTCAGCTCGCACCTGTGCAGACAGAAGCGACGGGAAACACTCACTCCCGCCCGCTTCGTGTCGTTTGCCTGCCAATCAGGGGATGCTGTCTGTGGGTTATTCGACGTTCTACACGATGGCTCCAGTGTTTGCGTTGGTGCTGGACGTCGAGCTGCCCGAGAGCGTCATCTTCATGTACCCCGAGCTGTACCAGACGCTGCGCAACGGGCGGGTCATGTCCATCAAGACCTTCTTCGGATGGGTCTGGAAGTCTATCTACCAGGTCAGTCAGTCCGTCCAGTGTGACTGACGCCCACAGACAGAGCGGCACTGTTGGTGTGTGTGCGTGTGTGGGTATATATTTGTGTGTTCGTTAGGGTGCGGTGATAATGATATTGGCCATCTTGCTGTTCGAGGAGGAGTTCATGAACATCGTGGCCATCACATTCACTGCACTCATCCTCTCAGAGCTGCTCAATGTCGCCTCCGAAGTGCACACATGGTCAGCCAATGGTGATTGATAAAGGGGCACGGCAAACAACCAGCCGAGGGAGCGTCTTGCTCTGTGTGTGTGTGTGTGTGTGCGTGTGTGTTCGTTAAAACCAGGCATCCGCTGATGATAACGGCCGAGATCCTGACGGTGATTGTGTACATCTTCTCCATGTTCATCCTGCGCACATACTTCGACATCTTCGTAAGCACATCTCACAGATCTTTTTGTCCTCTCTGACACCACTCACTCCTATAAATGGATGTGTGTGTGTGTGTGTCCTGTGTGTCTTGTGCCTGCTTGTGTCAGTTCATCATGACGTCGACCTTCCTGTGGAAGTGTGCGGTGATTGTGGCTGCATCATGGGGCCCCCCACACGTCTGGCAGGTCAGCACACACACATAATACATAAGTAGACCACGGGCCCACGCCTGCCTGCCTGTCTGTCTGTCTGTCTGCCTCCATCCATCCATCCATCCATCAGGTGGTGCGGCGGATAGTGCGGCCTCCCCAGTACACCAAGCTAGCCGACTGAATGTTGGTTGGGATGACTGAGTGAGATGCATGCCCGGTGTTTGTCTGAGTGGCTAGCTAGCTGAAGGGGAAGGAAGCGTGAGTGTACATAACACCAAACAGTCAGTCGCCGAATGTCAGCGGACAGGCAGACAAGCGGGCAGGCACCATACTTTTCTTGGCGAGGAAGGACGTCATTAGTGTACAGCGTGTGTCAGCAGCTCATCGGATCGGCCAGTCATTGCAAGCAAACCTTCCGCCTTTTAGATCTCAGTGCAAACACATGCATGTGTATGTGAAGTGGTCGCTCACATGTCCCGGGGGATGGGGGCGAGCTCGCAAGGAAACAGTCCTCCTCCAGCCATCCGCCCATCAGTCAGTCAACATGCAGTCGTCTCTGATCAAGTACAACACGCCCATCCTGGTGAGCACGTCCTCCAAAGACAAGAAGGGCAAAGGCAAGAAGGGCGCCACCGCCAAGCCCGTGGAGAAGCCGCCGAACACCTCCCAGACGGAGGACATCCTCAACTCCATCCTCCCGCCCCGCGAATGGACCGAGGACGACCAGCTGTGGGTGCAGTACGTCTCGAGCACTCCCGCCACACGCTCGGACGTCATCAATTTGCAGGAGGAGCTGGACAAGCGGCTGCAGCAGCGGCAGGCGCGGGAGACGGGCATCTGCCCCATCCGGGAGGAGCTCTATGCCCAGTGCTTCGACGAGCTCATCCGCCAGGTGACCATCATCTGTGCGGAGAGGGGCCTCTTGCTGCTGCGGGTGCGGGATGAGATTCGCATGACCATTGCGGCCTACCAGTCGCTGTATGAGTCGTCCATCGCCTTCGGCATGCGCAAGGTCAGCGTCAGGCAGAGAAATGGACGCGGAGGCTTTTCCTTTTCCCTTGGGGGCGGGCGGATGGTGTCTCCCTCCTCCCTCTCTGTTTGTGTGTGTCTGTCTGTCTGTCTCTCTGCAGGCGCTGCAAGCGGAGCAGCGACGCACGGTGCACGACGACCGTATCAAGGGGTTGATGCAGACGAACAAGGACCTGCAGGAGGAGGTCGAGAGGCTCCAGCAGAAGATCGTCCAGGTGGAACAGTCATATGAAGAGAAACGACAAGAGGTCAGGTGGAAACCACCTCACACACACACACACACACACACACACAGAGAGAGAGAGAGAGAGAAAAAAGCAGAGAGAGTGGCAGAGGTAGAGAGGCGAGGTGGCATCAGTTGCTGGTGTCTCTGTCAGTCATGTGTGTGTTGGTGTGAATCGCTGGGTTTGATTGATGTGTGCGTGGCAGGAGGAGTCCAAGCACGGTGAGGAGGTGGAGTTCCTCAAAAAGACCAACAAGCAACTCAAGGACCAACTCGAAAGCCTACTGTCCGCACCCAAGAAGTGATGATGGATACACGGACTTCACACACATGGACTCGACCTTCATGCCGTGCATTATCTTGTATTTGTTACATGGCCACCATGAATGCACCCACTGCCAAGTCTGTCTTCCCGTCTTGGTCCGTGCTTACATGCACTCCTCCCTAACAATGTGTTAACAAGAAAAAACACTCAGTCAGAGCAGCAGCCTACCTACAGCCATATATAGTTAGAACGCCGGTATGAAGGTCGAGAGAAACGCCTGAGCAGCCGATATGTCCCATTCCTCCTCGTGCCTTACTATCAACCCCCTGTCATTCAGCGTGTACAGCGTCCTGCCCGTATAAGGCTTCACCACCGGCTTCCACGGCAGCTTCAGCGACCCACCCAGCCGCCACTCCACGCGGATATGCGAGTCATCCAGCACCTCCAGCCCCAACAAGTCAGCTTGTGACGTTGCGGGATCGAAAAGGTTCCTCACAGCCCTCACGTACGTGTCCACCCCTTGTACCGTCACCGTAGGGTCGATGAAGATGCAGTCTTTGGCATAGATGGATGGCGTGAGGTCGCCGGTCACGTAGTATTGGCCTTGGAGGAAGTCGCGCCTAACGGTCTCGGCCACAGTCCGCACGTCCAGCTTCGGCGGCTCCTCTGCAATGGCGGACGGCGACCTGGGCAGGGAAGCACCGATGAATGGGGAGAGCAGCAGCACCCGATTCAGCACAGATCTCCGGGATGTCTTGCTGGATGGGTCAGCGCTGGACGAGGCGCCCAGGCTGGACAGGCGATGGATCGGCACTCGTGTTGGTATGAAGGCCTCAGCACACAGCCCCAGATAGCAGCCGAAGCGAATCAGCATGTCCCCGCGCAACATCCTCAATGGATAATTCAGAGCCTCACACCTTCTGAATGGTACATCCCCTTGATGACAGCGTAAGTGAGTCTCCGGCATTCGAAGTCGTTTGCCTCGTATTGCGAGCTCAGCTCAGGCTCGCATCTCGCAGGGAAGACCCTCTAAGCGGGAAGGGAAGGGAAGGCTTCTCTTTCATTGGCGCCGACTGCCCTTGTTGTCGCTGCTCAGAAGCGCGATGGACTCCCGCCGTGACAGGGACCGAGAGCGAGATCTTCGCATGGACATCGACAAGGTCACTGACTGGCGCACAGGGACCATCCAGCACCTGTGGCTTTGGCATCTGGATGAGCGAGTTTGTTTGTGTGTTGCAGGACCGTGATGGACCTCGCCGTGCCGGAGGTCGTGAGGTGTTCATGGACCTGGTGCGCACGCACCAAGCGAAGCACACCACACACAATGCACCCACAGATGCGGACACGCGCACCAAGGAAGGAGTGACGCCTCTCTGTCTGTCTGTCTGTCTGTCTCTGTGTCTGTCTGCTGTCTCTGTCGGCAGGACCGCGAGCGTGACAGCAGGATGAGGAACGGCGATGGGCCAAGGGACAGAGATCGCGACCGAGACAGGGACCGAGATCGTGACCGTGATCGTGATCGTGACACCAGAGACAGAGATGTGCGTGGTGACAGAGAGCGTGACAGGTTCAGCCGCCCTCCCCCAGGTGGGGGAGGCGGGCCGCGCATTGGCGACCCCCGGCGCGACAACCGCCCTGCTCCCTACAGGTAGACCTGTCGAATGGCAGGCTGCTGATATATGATGCAGAAATCATTTCACACGTACAACACACTTGACACTTCGCACGTCGAATGGTTTGTTTCCCTTCAGTCGCGCCTCCGGCCCTGCCCGGACGGGCGGTGTGGGTGGTGGTGGTCCGCTTCACCGAGGGCCACCCCGGCAGCTGGTGGACCGCGAGAAGACGTGCCCGTTCCTGCTGCGCGTGTTTTACAAGATCAACAGCCGCCACGACATCCTGGACTTCGCTCACCGCGGCAAGGAGGCCCTGCACAACACCGAGCTGCAGGTGTACACCTGGCAGGACGCCACTCTGCGGGAGCTGACGGACCTCATCAAAGACGTGGCTGACGAGGCCAGGGCCCGCGACGCACGACTCGAGTTCCAACTCGTGTACCCAGGTGGGTCGGTGGGTGGGCATATATATGATGGCCACACACTGTGGTCATCCATCGTTCTTTCCTTGGTCTGGTGTTGTGTGTGTGTTGTCATTCATCGATTGCTGGCCAGATCGGCAGGGCAAGAACACGATGGTCAAGATGGGCAGCGTGCACTCGACCCGCCGCGGCAACGACGACAACATTTCCCTGCAGAGCGTCAAGTTCCAGATCGGGGACTTCATCGCCCTCGCCATCATGAAGCCACAGGCCACCATCGCCAGCGCCGCCCAGCAGGCCTCTCCCACACACGCTGCCCAGGCCGTCAACAATAACAACACCGGCAATGGCGGCAACAATGCCAGCCCCCAGCAGCAGCAGCAGCAGCAACAGCAGCCGGCGGCCAACCACAACGGTGGCGAAGCTGAGTGGTCTGGGCAGCAGCAGCAGCAGCAGCAGCAAGAGGTCGAGGGTGGACAGCAGGGCGGGGGCGAGGGGGAGGCTGGGCAGGCGCAGCAAGAGGCGGGGGAGGTGGAGGGGAGTGCTGCCGCCACGGCCGCCGCTGGCGAGGCGGTTAATGGGGCGGAACCCATGGCTGCCGAAGCTTGATGGGTAGACAGACAAGGAAAGACAGGGCTGCGTCCGTCCGTAGTGTCAGAGAATGAATGCCGTGCGTTTGTCTGGGGCTGGGGAGAGAGGGGACGGTAAATGGAGAGCGTGTGTGTATGTGCGTGTGACGTCCCGCTTTTGGCCAATGTGTCGCTCCCAGCCAGCTTGTGTGCCCTGTTCTGATTGTCGGGTGCATTGAGGTGGCCGACACGAGGCGGTGTATATGACAGTACACTGCCTCGTGTAGTGTGCCTTCATCCACCGACGATTGGAACAGGGAGGGCGTCACATGTACATGTGCACACAGCCGCAAGGAACCCAGCTGAAGCCGATGCGACAGAACGTGTGTGAGTGCGTGAGAGAGAGAGGGAGAGGGCGGCTGCTTGACTAGCCTGCCTGCCTGCCTGCCGGGTGTGGTGTGCCAGCTGTGACTGATGCGACCCACTTTCCATGCACACACATGACATTGTCATGTAGGTAGCTTGCTTCATGAAGTGTTTTAAGCAGTCGACAATGGCGACAATCGATGTGACGCTCAAAACCCATATCAGTCCATCCACTGACTGGCGCCGCACTCCTGCATCGCATCCGCCAAGCCATCCACCCTCAATCAATTGCCCTCAGATGAGGTCCCACCGACTATACTCGAATGCTGTCTCATCAGCTTGCTCGCCCTCTCAGCTATCCCTTGCACACTAATCGGCCATATGGATCCCCCTCCCTCGCCACCCCCAGCAGCAGCAGCAGCAGCAGCGGGGGGGCGGGGTAGCGGCGGCCGCTTCGGTCTCGGCAGGCTTGATGCGCTCGATGCTGCTAGGTGGGCCAGGTTGGCGCAGGAGGTGTTGGGTGTGAGGGCGCCCCTCATTGTGGGGGTGGCTGATGCAGATGCCGCCGACGCAGTGCCGGACCGATCCTGACACACCGTGGGATTCATTCATTGCAGAACGAACAAGCGTCATGTGGACATGCAGGCGGCTCACCAGAACTCGCTGGATGTCGGCTTTTCGCATGGTCCCTGAGTGAGTGAAGGGAAACCACGCAAGCAATCAGCGGCCCACATGCATGTGGATGAATGTATGTCACCGCGAATGACATACGTACCCTTGAGAAACGCACGGAGGACACACTGCAGATACTCCGCTTGTGCGTGTGCATCCCTCAGCTCCCCTTGCAGACGGTCTATCGTGCGCTCGGCCGCGTGCACGCTCAGCAAATCACACGCACTCTGGACACACACACACACACTCACCAACGTCCCGTGCCTGCAGGTTAACCTGCCTGTATACCTTGGCTTGGTTGAGCTGCCGGTCTTTGTCGTCGAGTTGTGCTTGTAGTGCGGCCCTCTGTGCGATGAGGTCCTCTATCTGCGCCACGACAGCCTGATAGGCAGCCTCACGCCCAGACGCCTGAACACATCACATCCACACATTCGGCTCAGCAGAGGCCAGGCTGCGGATCCTCCCTCCCCTCCATGGCTCCCCTTCTTCTCCGAACCACGCACATACCTCTTCTGCCAATTTCGCGTTGGCCTCTTCGAGCCTGCGTCGTTGACATGCACATCACTTGCCCTCTCCCCTCTGATGCGTACATCTTCCTCCCCGCCCTCCTACCGTGCGATTTCGTCCCTCATGCTATCAGCCTGCCGTGCGGCCGCCTCGGCTGCAGACACGGCCGCATCGCGCTCTCGCCTTCACGCATTCATGGCATGGGATGGACCGACACATCACACTCGCTGCGCACAAATGCTTAGAGGCTGGCGGTTCCTGCTTACTTACTTGATGCGCTGCAGATGCTCCTGCGATGTACGGGCCAGTGACTCTGCCTCGTGGCACTGCACACACACACACAGACAGCAGACCTCTCGAGAAGAAGGACGGGTGAGAGCTCCAGCCGGCCATCTCCCTTACCCTCTTCTTGAGGGCTACGTTGCGCTCTCGGAGCACGTCCGTGTTGACCTTGCTGGCGCTCTCTGAGAGGCGCAGCACATCCTGCAGCCGCTTGATCTCATGCAAGGCCGCGTCGTTCTTCTTGCGCTCTGCAATTAAGGCAAGTGGCCATTCACCACACACAGGTGTCCATCCATCCATCCATCCATCCATCCATCCATCCATCCATCTGTCGGTAAGTACCAGCGAGGAAAGAGTTTTCGAGGTCTCTCACGGCCTCACAGAATGGAGATCTGGTGCCGCTCCTGCTCGTGGGAGAGGCTGCTCGGCTTCCCACCACGCTGCTCCCTCCCAGGCCGCCCGAAACGCCCTCATCCATCTCGAAACGCTGCTGACGGTATTTTCTCTTTCAAACTCCAGCAACACAGAGGGAGGGCATGGGCTGGAACCATGAGTTTACACGTCGAGAATTCGCGATTCTCGCCGAGACAGGACGGCTCTTTTCTCCCCGTTCCGCCATTTCGCGCTTCGACCTTCTTCCCATCGCATCCCTCTCCCACCAGCGCTAGCAGCTGCGTTTCTTTTTCTCTTTCGAGGTGCCGCTGGTTGGAATATGCTGAGTGTGCCCTGGCACTTTACCGGGCTACGTGCCCGTGCCGGTGGTGCGCAAGAATCTGGCGAGGGAGCCGTGAAAGAAGGGCGGGGATACGGCAGGGCGGCGCTGCTCGTTGAGGGCCTCGCCGGTCCTTGAGGCAGAGAGGCTGCGAGAGCTGCAGCAATGGGCTGAGGAGAGGGCGGATCTGCAGGACGCCCAGGTGCAGCTGACGGCGCTGCCGGATCGCCACGGGAACAAAGCAGATGCGGCTGACGTGCCAGAGCTGCGACCGAGAGCGTTAGTGGGACTTACCGAGGGAGGGGCGACGGCTGAGTTTGAGAGGGGGCCGTGCATTTTGATGGAGAAGGTTGGTGCTGGTAAGCAAATGGAAAAAGAAATGGATTGCCAAGCGAGGAATGGCGGACATCCATCTGTGTGGTGTGGTGTGGTGCCGCCAGCTGGCTGCGGAGACGGATACCGCAGCCAGCGCAGCGTGCTGGTGGTCAGCAAGCGCAAATCGAGCCCCTTATACCACGCGCCATCACCACACACACGGGGGCCCTATGTTTGCGTATGTATCACTCTATCGTCGTACATGTGTATTGTGATTTGGGTCGTACGTAAGTCGTTCTCTCTAGGCCGGAGAGACGACCAGCGGCACCACGAGCTCCTGGACGTCAACCAGGTACATTTTCATGGGCCACACAGACATGGACAAGACGACACCCACACCCACACTCTCTCTCGCTCATCCTCTCTCTCTCTCTCTCTGTGTGTGTGTGTGTGTGTGTGTGTGGCAGGCTGAAGAGGAGGCTGGCTGAGATGGCGACGGCGCAGGGCGGCTGCATAGAACAGAACAGCTGACATCCTCCCAGCAGCGAGGCCGCACAGGAGGGGCTCGTCGACCTGCTGGTGAGGGAGGGCGACCGATACTCCAACAGCTGAGCGGCGCATCGATCAACAGTCGAGACAATGCCTCTCCGCCTGATTGCGTTTTCTCTTGGTCAAGATCTGACCCTCGAGAAGCGGCGTCTTCATCCTGTGATTTTTCTATATATCTCACTGAGTACAGCAGAGGGTTACAGATCGGCAGCGACCGCAGCGCGGCCGAGTCAGCTTTTCGCGGGATGCAAACCTGAACACGCTGAAGCTCTGGGAAGAGTTCATGTTCGGGACGCTCACGGATGCCGACCCTTCGCAGCGCTTGTTCTTTCGCGGTCGCCCTATGAGGCTGATCAGCTTGGTCGCGCAGTCCTCGCTGGCGGACGCCCCGGCCATCATCCACACATTCCTAGCGAGGTTGGGGTCTGAAGAGGCGCTGAGGGGCGACCCCTATCCCTCGAGAGTCGCCATTGTCTGCGGCAGATACGACGTCGCCCACATTATGCTCAACTACATCATGGACAGCGACGTCGGCGACCCTTCGTCGGGGCTGGCGCAGCTGAAGCTGCTGTTCGATGTGGCGCGGCACAACCCCTTCATGCAGCCCATCGTCAAGCTGGCAATGGTGAGCCGCCTGGTCGAGCTGGAGCCCGGGCAGCTCCGCCAGCGTGACGCCAATCGTCGGCTGCCCATCCATGAGTTCTGCCGGCACCCCCTGAGGAGCGAGGCAGCACAGGAGAAACTCATCGACCTGCTGGTGAGGAGGGGCTTCACCTATACCCTCAACACGACTGACACGGCGGGAGCCACGCCCCTGCAGCTCGCCGCTTCCCGTCCCAACGCCAACGGTCTGCTGCGGGGACTGCTGCGGCACGGTGCCGATTTGTGGTCGGCAGGGGTGCCGAGAGGCAGCCGGCTGGGGAGGTTGGCATGGATGCCAACCAACGCGTCGTTGACGCGTATCTTGCCTACCTTCAACACGACTTGTTCCGGCTGATCTTCCGCTCCCTCGAACGCGCGCTACGGCCACTTTGGTCCACCCGTGCAGCCACCAACGACGGGATTATGAAGGAGATCAAGATGGAAATCGCCGGCTACATGTGCAACGCCATTCCTCCCTACCTGCTCGCCCCTCTCTGGCACCGCATCAGCCAGATCATCCGCCTCTTCATCACGACGGCCCTCGAGAGGACCACCGCAGCAACCCCCCGGGAGCGTGTTGATGTGTTTAAGATGCGCTTTGGATTCGCTGCCAGCCATTGTGCGGACCGCGAGATGAAGTTGACGCTGCAGGAGTTGGTGGAGGTGGCGTTCAGAGAGGAGGCGGCTTAGAACCACCTGCTGACAGACAGACTGGAACTGAATGACCGTAGAAATCCTATCTGACACCCTGCCTTCCTGCCTGCCTGCCTGCGTGAAGTCCTTCTCTCTCTGGGTGGGGTGGGGTTGGGTGGGTGACAGGGGACGGCCAACCGTAGGCAAGCTGATAGAGGGGTGTCTGTGTGTGTGTGTTGCC